TAGTTAAGACGCAAGTATTATGGAGCTAATCAAATATCTATCGCCAATTACCAAATCTACAGATAGTTGCATATTAATTAACTACTGCACCTTCTATTAAGAAAACAGTAAATTATTCAATATCCTAGGACGATTCGTCTGAGCGGGTAGAAAACTACCCGGCTGGGCTTCTGCGCGCGAATTACGTGGTGGACCTGGTGAGCAGGCCGGCGGGGCGGCTGGTGCGGCGCGGGGGCGCGGAGGCGAGGCGCCTCTGCGGCCCCCTCTGCGACGCGCGGTACACTGCGCGCCGGACGCCAGACGCGTGCGAGTGTGGCCCGTGAGGGCGGCGATGGATGTTTCGAAACGACTAATTGACGTTTATCGACCGTGTTTAGAGTGATCAGCGGATTCGACATTGTGATGGCTTAAAGGGCTTGTTACCAGGCCATAAAATCTTTATTTAAAAAAATGTGTGGGGTGACATTTGCTTATTGTGTGACACGTGGAAATTTGAAATTACGGAGTGGTATCTCAATGTATAGAATATATCCGTAAAATAGAGCACACATAGATGGCGTTACTGTTCCATAAGTTCAACGTTTTGAAGAAAGCGCCAAAATTGTTGGAACGGGACAAAAATGTAAATGCTTATAAACTTCGAAAAAAAAAAAAACAAATTCCAAAAATATATCTAAACAAAATTAAGATTTAAAATTGCACTTTTACGATGCCTCATAATTTTAACCATGGCTATATTTAACTATCGCAATACTCTTTTTCTGAATTTGCCAAAGAGTGAGCTCATACACATTCTGCCAATTTCCTTAGGCATACTTGACTTCATCTACTACCGTTAACTTTAGATCTTTCTCTTTAGCTATTTACCTACACCATTCTTGTCACTGAGTTTATCCCAAGCCATTTTAAACTTATTTATTTATTTATATATATTTATTGTACACAAAACACAGGATACAAAAAAAAAAATAATAAAAAGAAAATAATGTACAAAAGGTAAGCTTAACTCAATATGTGAGTTCTCTGCCAGCTAACCTGGTGAGAAAATAGGTGATTGAAGGTAGCTGGAAATGTGTTCAGTGCACCCAGATATTCCTATAGTATACCCTACATAAATATATATAACTTAATACAAATAGGTCTAATGCGAAAGGGGAATTTAATGAAACACAACCCACATTGTATACATATAGGTAGATACTATAAAAAACCGAACTTGAGATACTTCTTATCCTCTCTACACTATAGTGTGATGGACTTTTTTATTGCGTATGAGACACCTTTCTTGTGACTCGATGCTTTGATTTTTTTTGTACCTTGTGATGTAGTTAATACTTTAATAATGTTATTTATTGTTAGCAAATAATGGTTGACTTTAAAGAAATACGATTCGTAAACAAAAATTGTTTTTCTTTCAAGTTGGTTTCAGTCCAGACAACCAAAGGCTGAATCTGTTATATGCCAAATAACGTCGGGAAAGCGTTAACAAATAACATACTAAATAAAATGTACAAACACATTTCATATTGAAGGTCCTATTGGAAAATCGATTTCATTTTACATACAAACAGTTGATTATTACGAAATAAAAGAATGAAAGATGAAGTATTTTTTATTGCGTATAATTTAATCAGGGATCTGTTCACTGGCTCTCATATAGTAAAACATCAACTTTCATAAAACATCGATAAATTAAATGCACATGTAAACATTGCACACAAATGGACGGACAAACGATCACAAACACGTATACAATACTAAAAACTGACACAACAATCCTTAAATAACAATTATTTCATAAACATTATATAAAGTTTGCTTTGATTACGGACCACGTTAATATTACGTCTTATATCTTATCTAAAGTGATAGACAGAGATAGCTATATGTTTCAGCTGAGCTCTTTCAGTCTCAAAAGCGACAGGTGGTATGCCTGTCGCTATAAGCTGGATACAGTGATCTTTGTATTTAAATACTAGTAGGTATTTATATTAATTAATGTAAATGGACAGTTTCATGGCTAATGTACCAACAATAAGGCGGTCTTATCGCTAAAAAGCGATCTCTTCCAGACAACCTTAGGACGAGGAAAAATAAACTAATGAATAGTGGGAGGTGGTGTGCTCAATAAACTTACTTAATACCAAAATAGACTTAAATATAATAAGATAAACAAAATTATAATAAAACATACATAAACATAAATAAATATATAATATATATAAATAAATACACGAGAGAAGAATTAAATCTGAATATTGCCATTAAAAACTATGGATTACAAAGCGATAGATAATGTTGTTTTACGTCAATTTTAAACTTGTCTAGCGTCTTCGAACGACGAATTTGCTGAGGAAGTTCATTCCACAAGCAGATGGCCTTAACTGTAAAGGAGTTCTTATAATTTAGTTTTTTTGTACGCATGTGGTGCTAGAATTAGATCTTCAGCTGATCGCAGAACTCGTTCTGGATGGTTATGGCCAAGAAACTTAAAGTGTTCCTTTAAATAGCTTGGAGTCCTAGGGTTAAATAATACACAGTACAGAAGAGAGACAGTGTGTAGATTTCGGCGAAAACGAATGGGTAACCACTTGAGCATTGAACGAAATTCGGAAACATGATCATATTTGCGTAACCAAATATGAACCTAATGGCTAAATTTTGAATACGCTCAAGTTTATTTAGTTGTTCTTCGGTTAAATCAAGATAGCTTGCATCCGATCGAGAATGGATACAAGGATTGTGCTAGCATAATTTTAGTTGGAATGGGAAAAAAGAACATAAACTGGAGAGAACCCATTTTTCGGCTCAATACCGAGTTGCGATAGGCTTATAATATACTGTATTTTACTCAGTACGGGGCGCACTTGCCAGACCTTAAGGTAAATATAACGTTTTATGACAAAAATAGTGCAAGGTGAGTTAAATAATTAGTAAGGTGAGGTATATAATGTTAGATCGCTTTCGACTGTTGACCACCCCTGATTTATGCGACTAAGACAATGTGGTCGTATTTTTCTTTAAAATGTCGCAATCTATGAAGTGAGAGTATTAACTTCTGTATTTTATTGTATGAAATAAGTGAGAGTATTAACTTCTGTAAATAAGTCAATACCAGTAACTTGTATCGACTATGACTGATCGGAAACACGGATTGAAGGAAAAGCAGAATTTTGTCAGATAGAGATTTAGTATTTCAAAAATTTTTACGTTTGAAGTAAAAACTTCAAACAAAATTACAACTTAATTATATCAATAGTTTGCGACATGCAATTAAGTTTATTCTTACATTTTTTTATGTCAAACATGGTAAGTAATGTCGATACAATGATTATATTTTCGGATGTACACGATTGTACTAATGTTTTTTTAGTCAAAATGGGACTTTAATACTATAACTACGTAATACGTTAAAGCGACTAAGTCATTAATGCTAAACACATTTTTTAAAAATTGTAAAAGACTAATTTACGAAATATTTTTCTATCGAAAAAGGACGTTGCATGCAATCACAACACATTGAACAAATTAACTGATAATTATTTATATAGGTAAATAATTAATTCAGTCTAAATTGAAAACTGGTAATGGCAACATTGTTCCATTGACGGAATGTCAATTGAAAAAAATCAAAAACAAGTAGGTAATTATTTTTAAAACACATTAACGGTGGTAAATATAATTATGTATAGTTATGACATAAATTATAAAATTTAAGGGACGTTTTTGACGTTTTTATTGACGAATAGTAAATTTGTAGTTTCCTCACACAACTTTACTTAGAGATAAGTAAACATTAGTGTATAAATAATGAAAACGTTATAAATTCTAAAATCACTTAAAAATAATTTCCGAGAGCACCAAATAAAAAGTGGTAGTGAAATTGTATCTTTCTTAACAAACATCCTCTGGGGTTACAGATTTTTTAAACATTATCCATTATATTCTAGCAACGAAATGCTCTTTAATAAAATCATTCAACAGAATGACATGATATTAATACTAATCATAATAATTTTATTAAAATTTGTCTAATTAGGATCAAATAATAATGGACCAAATACAAATAAATTATTTGCTTTTATTTTTATTTAATTAAGTAGTGATTATTTTTTGTGATAAAATACTCTAAGTTAACTGGTCAAATTTTCATAATAATTACTAATCCTGAATATATATGCCTTGGCAATATCTTGGATTAATTCGTGTTATTTTCCACAATCGGCTACTCTTAGAATTTCCTGATCTGTATATAAAACGGCTCTTCTAGCTGTAGTCTAATCAATATTACATCTTAACTTTAAGGCACTGATGTATAAAGTTCAATTGTGCTTTATTTTTATTAGAATTGGTATAACTGTTACATTTTTATAACAATTATGCCAATTATATTCCCTAACTACTATATCAACGTGGTTCAAACCCTGATCAAACCCTAATCAACGTGATATCGTCACCTAAGATGATTTATGCTTTAACAGTATATAAATACGGTGTGGAATCTTGCGTAGGTGATATTTATGAAATTCGTGAACCGCTCTTCATATAAATAGCTTGGTCTACTTTAATACACATTAAAAGGCAAAGTCAAAGGGTGACTTAAACGTAGAGCAATAAGGCCGATAATGGGAAAACAAAATGAAAACCGCTTGAGCGATACTGGAGTGCAGAGATCATCGCGCAGGCGAACTGGTGTCTTACATACATACGAATAAAGTCTACAATCAACTTGAAGGTTAATTGCGGGAGATGCGCTTTAGTTTAGAAGGCCGTCGTCAGGCGAATTGGTGACATATTATGCACATACAAATAAAGTCTACAAACAACTTGAATTTTAATTGCGGGAGATGCGCTTTAGTGCGAGGGCCGTCGTCAGGCGAACTGGTGACATATGCACGTACAAATAAAGTCTACAATCGATGGCGTGGGAGGCGCGCTGGCGGGGGCCGTCGTTGAAGCGAATGTGCGCCTTATCGCCACGGGAATAGAGTCCACATTCAGACGGTGGTCTGCGGCACGCCGTGCACCATCTGCGTGCGCGAGCGAGCGCGCGGCACCGGCTCGGGCGCGCCCTCCTTCAGCGACAGCGCGGAGCCGGACCACGCCTCCGATGACGTCACCGTCTGCGGCTGGCTCATCTGGTGGAGAGAAAAGTTAAGTGACAGCCCAAAAATGCCCCACTGATGGGCGAATGCCCTCTGTAAAGAACTTGTCAGGGTCCACTGCGGATTGGCAGACTTCGCGTATTTTATTGTTACTATTTCGAAAATATGCAGGTTTTCTCGCGATGGAATCCGTTCTCCTTCATCGCGGAGCACGTGATAATTCAGCACTCGAAACTAACAATTTCATTGGTGCCAGCACCGGGGATCGAAGTCGGGTTGCTCTAGTAAATGTGATTAAAGGCGAGCGCCCGCACTCCGTGGTATCACGGTTCCTCATGTGCGGAATCTGTCTGTCCGTGGCACCAGGCCGTATCTAATGAAACATGATAGACAGTTGAAATTTTCACATATTATGTATTTCTGTTGGTGCTATAAAAACAAATACTAAAACAAGAATTAAAAATGATTTAAGTGGGGCTCCCATAGAACAGGTATGATTTTTATGTCCTTTTTAAAAATCCGATTTCATATCTGCTTTCTTCGTGAAGCATATCATTACAAAGTTTGGCCAAGCTATACAATAGAGACGTTGAGTCGGTGGCTGCGATAACAGAGTCTAGGTCAACTTCCAGACCATAAGGACGGATATAAATAATTAAAATAATTATTTTACCTACCACGATTTCTCACAACGGCCCGGGTTGACACTGGGATCTCTCCCAAATTGCCAAAAATCCTAAAAATCGCCCTTTGTAATCCTTGCTTAGGTACTAACAAGCAAACAAGCATAGCCCCGCCACGCACCGTCCTAGCGAGCGTCTGCGGCGTGTGCGGCCTCTTGGCCGGCACGTCGCGGTACTCGTAGATGTTGTCTCTGGAGCGGTTGGCGTTGTCTATGCCCGCCTCCTCCAGCTCGGGCACCATGAAGATGTCGCCGTTGTAGAAGCGGTCCGTCTCCCTGCGGACGGCGAACGAGCGTCGAGTCAGATCACAGTGTAAGTGTGATCATCTATAGATGTCTTTCAAGTTGTACTTATTTAGGCGCGTTATGAAAAAAATGATGAGGGTTAAATTTCTAGGAGCGCGCGCATCACTGTAATACAAAAGTAACAAGCCGTTTGAAGCTGCCCGCTAAACCGCTTATTTTATTTATATATGGCAGCATCTTCACAATCACATTCGCCCGTTACAGTTCTCAGTAAAGAGTGTAGATGGCGCTTTCATAATTTTATTATTTTTATTATTTACATCCTTTTCCAGTCTTTTTGCTATTTTCTTGTAATTAATTTTTTTTGCATGCAAATTATGTGACAAGGTCGCAAACGAACGGCGGTTTACCCGACTTTAAGTGATAACCGCCGCCCATAAATATTTTCAACACTAGTATGGTTGCAGATGGGCTTCCACTTTTTTATTAAGTTGCTGTCCCCGGATACCTCACTAGACGAAACGCAGAAGTTATCTAACTCGTACTAGGTAACTGGTAGGTATACTTGACATATTTTAGTAAATAAATACAAAAACCCAGACACTAGAAAAAGGCTATATTCCTCACATATTTCCAAAAGTAAAAATCGTATCTGGAACATAGCTAACGTATCCACAACGAAAAAAGAAATTCAAGACGATAACACAACAAAGACAACAACGATACATGCACAGACATGCAAGCAACATAAAACAAATATAAGTAAATATAGTTCACCTACACGACTGGCACCATTTTCCATTTGGGGGGTGCACTCCTGAATGAAACAATGTTAGTCGGTTAGTAAATTAGTAAGTTTAATGAAATTGTCAGATTCACTAAATTATTATTTAGACCATAGAAAATTGTATATTTACTGAAAGGTTATAGTATAAGCTAAAAGCAAAAACAATGTTGTTATTTAAAGCTAAGTCCACTATTTTGGAATTCATAAAATGGGTGCATAATCAATTTTCATTAATATCTTAGGTTATAATTATTATAATATATATTTATGGCAGCTAAACTTAGCTTCAGGCTTAAAAATGTTGAGACATTGTAGCAACTTAACTGAATAGTAACTTTTAGTTAGCTGTCACAAAATTATGAATCATAAAACAAAACAAATAATGGGTGACGGATTATATGATATAGCTCTCTGGTTTCCCAAAACAACTTAATCTTGCGGTACATGTAAGAAAATTTGTATAAAAGAACATACTTCACCAAAGAAATAAATAATATTAACTAATTATTAGGCCTGAAAATATACGTAAAGTTTTTAAAGTTATCTCTTTATGTTTTTTAGAAGCTGAGATGTTGACGAAAATTTGATTTTAGTCAGCCATTTTGCAAAATTTAAGATGGCGGCCACTAAAAATCGAGGCATAGAACTCGTTTGTATGATATTTATTTTTATGGTGCTATTCTCTGCACTAGAGATGAAGTTTATAATTTGTAGCAGAATTTAACGAAAATTTTTTCATTGCTGCTAAGATTTGAATGTGCATGTTCTAGGATACGCGTTCAACAACCACTTCAAAACATTGTTTTTCATTTCTTATTTCTTATATTTTCACTTTATCAAAAATGTAACTTTTTATTGCTCTCCAAACAAATCCATCGGAATAATATAGTGAACCTGACTAAAGATAGAAGCTGTGGTTAGTATTTAGTATTATTGAGTCTGTAACTCATAATAAGTACTAACATAGTGAATGAATAATTCAACAATATGAAGAATAGTGTACCATAATTCAAAGGGTTATAAGTGAAGGCTTGTTATTGCCTGTTTGTCATGTAGTTTAGGGCTAGATAGATTTGAATAGCCGTAAGTCCTCCATATCTTAAATAAATAAATAAGAAAGAAAGTTTCTTATATTATTATACTTTTTGATATGACCATAATTTATTAATTGTTTATAATAATTAAGAATAACAATATTATATGAGACCATTACTTGTGTGATAATTGTTTCGGATCTGGGTATTTGTCCACGTGAAATTTATGTATGTAAAACATGCTTACAACACAGGATAATGTTATCCTACGGTAAGGGCAACATTTTTAATAAAAAAAATATAAATGGTAACCGGGCAACCCTCACCTCTTGGCGTTCCTCCACAGCATGCAGCAGAGCACCAGGAGCACCAGCAGCAGGAGACAGGCGCTCGACACCGACCAGAAGGCGATCTGGAGCGGCTGCTTCGGCTCCCACCAGTACTGACGAGTTCACACCACCTTATTGGCTTATTTATTTTATTTGAGATGCAAACGCGCGCTGGCGGTTCACCCGATGGTATGTGATAACCGTTGTCCATGGACATTTATAACACCCGTAGGGTTGGAGAGCGTTGACCCTTTAATAAAGTGGGCCCTGGCTACCTCACTCACCAGACAAGACGCAGAAGTATGACGCTTGACGCCGGTCTTGTGTGAGGTCGTGGTACTTCATCAGACGGACCTGCCCATTCGTGCTATAACGTAGATGATACAGTAGAATCTGTGTTGCTTAGGTACATAGCACACTTTAAAACCTCAACAGGTTGTGGAATAGCGTAAACTACAATACATTATGCTTGGCTTATTGTTGCATACCTCGGTTATGGGCGGGTATGTGGGCACCAGTCTGCCGATGACCGTGGGCAAGTACACCGTCCAGAAGGCGAGCTCGGTCTGCCTGTAGTTCAGCTGGATGCTCGAGTTGAAGGTGGTGTTCAGGTTTAGGTAGCGCAGCTGGCCCTCCTCGGCCATTTCGAAGTGCAGGCCTAGGATCTGGGAGCGCGTGGGGTTGCTGGAATGATACATTCGCTTTATTGAATATGTTAAAAGGTTCTAGGAAGAAAGCAAAATAGAGGCGTGGAAGAATCAAGACACAATTAATCACCGAATCTTCGTGATAACTTCAACATTGAGTACTCTTCTCTAAAATTTGGAAGATAGATTTTTTTTTATATATAAAAAGTAGTTAAGCGAGCAGGCGGTCCATTTGATGTTAAGTTATTATTTTGCCTAATCTTAGTATTTTATATAGTCTTTATACAGTCTCCACAACATCATTGATCAATTTTTATACAGCGTGTCTTAAAAATCGCGACAATAAATGAACACGCATATAGGGGATAACTTTTTAAAATTGTATTAAACATTTACTTTCTTTAACAGAGTTATAAAATTTTCCAAAACAAAGAATTTTAGAACACCTTACGTATGAAACTGTAACGTAAAGTTCATTTGTAAAGGACACAAAGCATATGAATGGGTTGAATGAATTTAAAAGAGACAAAACAGACTGTTGTAAGGAGAGGCTTGCGCCTCGTGGCGCGAGTTGTATAGGATGTTACAAATTTTGTTTCTTTTTTATTTAATTAGTTTGTTTGAAAAATATATTTTTTTAATTATGGATTTTCTTTAACGTTAATATTTTTTTATGATTATTGGCAAGTAGCGTTAGACGTGTGTTCATTTATTGTCGCGATGGTAACGACACGCTGTATATTAATTATCTATAGTGAAAACTTAAGATGAAACGTAAAAACTGTTTCGGCGCTAAGAAATTCGAATTCCAAATATCAATGGCGACATCTCCCCCGTTCGAATGATCGTTGCGAAACGATATTGAAATTGCTCGTGTGTTACACACACATAAACACACACACACACACACACCCGTATCTGGCGAAGTCGGCGTACGCCTTCATGAAGAAGTGGCTGAGGTTGCGGTCGTTGGGCGTCCACGCCTGGCGGCCGACGCGCAGCCGCCGCGGGAGCAGCTCCTCGTCCATGAAGGGCGCGCCCGCCAGCAGCGGGTGCTCCGCCCCGTGCGGGCAGCGGCGCCAGCGCGGCCAGCGCAGCGCCTCCACCGTGCTGTTCATCACGTACGCGAACACGGGCACGCGCTGCCGCAGCAGCAGCTTCACCATGCGGTCGGTCGGCGCGCGGTACAGAAAGTCGGAGAGCAGCTGCGGGGGGTGGGGGACCACGCTGGCGGTTAGGGTCGGTACATATACGGGGCGGCTAGATATAAAATTCTAGACATAAATAGTGTTATATATAAATTGATAAATATTTAAAATCACTGGTAATTAATTAAATTTTGATTTTACGCTAATTTCTAAAGTAGTTAGTTTGAAAAGTAAACGACGCATTTATGAATGACTACCGCATTGTCAACAAGTTCTGCTTTTTAGGGAATGCAATGGAATTTTTTTTGAAAAAAAAAAGTTTCTTTTTATTTCAATAAACGATTATACTACTAAGCCTGAACCTCCTGTGTGAATTTGGGAACCCTTAGAAAACCCTGTATTGGCAAGGCCGGGTGGTAAAATCCTTACTCAGTAATATTGCAAACGCGAAAGTTTTTATGAACAGTTGAGGACAACGCTGGCCGTTAGGGTTGCTGCACACGAGCAGGCTGTGCGATAAAATTCTTACTACACTAGGTAGTAAAAAACAAAATCGTCCCGGAGTCTGTCTGTCCCTATGTATAGATCTTTGAAACTACGCAACGGATCTTGATGCGTTTTTTTTACTAGATAGAGTGATTCAAGAGGAAGGTTCACATGTATGATACCGGGGCGGGTCGCTAGTTTACTAATATTACAAATGTGAAAGTTTGTATGTAGTGGATGCTCGTTAGTCTTTCGCGTAAAAACAACGGAATGGATTTTTGTATTGTACAATTATATAGCTTATACATCGGAATAACACATGGGTCACAATTGATAAAGTTATCGTGTGAATTTTCCAAAATGTAACGAAAGTGTCAAGTGAGTAGGGATATATTACGCCATCCGCGAGCTCCGTCTGTGGCCTAAATAGTGCGAGTGAGTGGGCGCGCGCGCATGTGTGAGTGCACTCACGAGTCCTCCTGTACGTCCGTCTGTACTGCGTGTGTGTGCGTGCGGGCGCGTGCTTGTGTGTGCACTAACGAGTCCTCCTGTATCTACGTCCCGTCTGTACTCCGTGTGTGTGTGTGTGTGTGTGTGTGTGTGTGTGTGTGTGTGTGCGCGCGTGCGTGTGCTCACTCACGTCTATGTACTGGTCGCGCAGCGCGGTGCGGTTGTGCGGGTCGGGGTGGTACGTGTACATGTAGCGGATCGCCTCGTACACGCCGCGGGGGTTGAGCGTGTAGTTGTAGCGGGCGACGAGCTCCCACACCTTCTGCTCGAACCACTCCTCGCTGATCTCGTAGTTCGGCGCGAGTGTTTCGTTGTTGTCTGCGGGCGAACGGTTCAATACGGTTCAAAACGGAACGAGTCTAGCGGGTAAGAGTATCGCAATTTATCTCTACGCCCCGGGTTCACTGAGAGAATGCCGAAGGGCGTTAAGTTTGCCTTTAGTAATCCTTGTTTAATGTAATTATTTAGTCAAGAAAAAAAACTTTATATACATAAGAATTTTTGTGTGTGTGTACCTATTTTCACACCTAAGTAGTTATACATCTCTAGCTTAACAAAAGAAAAACTAATTAAAAATTTCATTCCATGCGTCAGTACGTAACGGGCTACAAAAACTTTTTAATGATATAAAGATGTTACAGGTTGCCATGACAACATCATGAAGTTAGCGTCGCGAATCGTCACAAAAAATCACTCATCACTTTTCCAAAACGCGACAAATGAAGTGTGACTTTAACGAGTTGATGCTTTTGAATAGGCAAACGCCTGCAAGAAGTGTAACTTCAAAGAGTGTTTATGCTTTTGGAAAGGCAAGAAGTGCGACTTCAAAGAGTATTTACGCTTTTGAAAAGGCATAAGCTCACAGGAAGTGTAACTTCAAAGAGTGTTTATGCTTTTGGAAAGGCAAGAAGTGTGACTTCAAAGAGTGTTTATGCTTTTGAAAAGGCATAAGCTCACAGTGCGACTTCAAAGAGTGTTTATGCTTTTGGAAAGGCAAGAAGTGCGACTTCAAAGAGTATTTACGCTTTTGAAAAGGCATAAGCTCACAGGAAGTGTAACTTCAAAGAGTGTTTATGCTTTTGGGAAGGCAAGAAGTGTGACTTCAAAGTGTGTTAACGCTTTTGAAAGGGCATAGGACCGCGAGAAGTGTAATTGTAAGGCGTCCGCACATATGAAGTAGGCGGCCTCCTGCGTGGTGACGCCGGTCATGTAGCGCAGCGCAGGGTTGAACGCGCGCCGCTCGATGAGCTGCTCTGGCGGCGTGTCCAGGAAGCGCCAGTCGCGCTGCCGCCAGCCCTCGTACCACTCGTCGCCCGGGAACGTGAAGTTGTTCTCCAGCACCGGCCCCCACGGGATGAACCCCACCTGGGGCTGGTGAGGAAACCGCATTGTGATGACAAGATCGTTCGGGCTGCCCAATCGATACACAGCGACGAAAAGATTATATTATAAATGATGATTCTAATCCGTAGGAGGAAACGGTGTTCTCAACTAAAATTATTTAGATCGCAAAATTAATTTAAAAGCAATTGGCGTGGATCATGGAGTGGAGTAGAGTTAAAAATTGACGATGCAACGTCTCTGACAGAATCCACTATTAGTTAGAACGTAGTTTTACAATGGCTACGATCTATCGCTGTCACAGAAAAAAAATCCCCCCAACAGTCATACTAATTATACTGTCGTAGTCGAAAAATAAATATTTCTTATACTGCTATATTATAATTCTTATTAATGTTCTACTACATTTCTTATCTTGTCAAATAGAACTCAACTATAATCAACCCACCGTGGATAGAGAACAGTACCTGGAACTCTGCGTTGCCCAGCTCGTAGAAGCTCCTGCCCTGGCGGAGGCAGTTGACCAGCTTCCACGAGGAGTCGATGGGGCAGCCGAGCAGCCGCCCGAACACCAGCGACGTGTTCTGAGCGCGGAACTTGTCCTGGATCAGCGCCCAGTCGGCCAGTGCGGAGCCGCTCTGCGTGTTGCAATTTCAACTTTAAGCACGTGGCATTTGAGTTTCGACCTGCTGTTGCAAGAGCACGCAGTTGCACGGGTGGGCAGATTCGTCGGGGTAAGTACCACGAGCGAACGGAAGATCGACGTGAAATGGAAGCGTTTCACTTCCGCGTTTCGTCCGGTGAGTGAGGTAGCCGAGGCCCACTTTATTCGAAGGTGTCACCGCATCTGCAACCCTACGGGTGTTGTCAATTTCAATGGGCGGCGGTTATCGTTTGACGTCAGGTGAACCGCCAGCTCCTCCATACGCCGCGGACAGCTATCGTACTTCTTAAAGATGCAGATGGAAAAAAATATTAGGATGGGTGACGTCACCTGGGTGATCCACGTACACCAAGAACACGTATACGATGGAATAAAGTAATGACGATGGAATAGACACAGAGCTCGCGTAGACGATGGAAAGAATGTAGGATGGGTGACGTCATCTGGGTCATCCGTTACCAACGCCGAGTACACGGTGACGATGGAATAATGTAGGATGGGGGACGTCGCCTTAGCCATCAGTTCTAGACTGGACACAGAGCACACTTAGACGATGGAATAATGTGGGATGGGTGACGTCACCCGGGTCATCTATTCTAGATTTAACACCGAGTACACATAGACGATGGAATAAAGTAATGACGATGGAATAAACTGGACACAGTACACGCCGACGATGGAAACAATGTAAGATGGTGACGTGAATGGCCCATCAGTTCTAGACTGGACACAGATTACACGTAGACGATGAAATTAATGTAGGGTGGGTGACGTCACCTGGGCCATTCATTCTAGATTGAACACAGAGCACACTTAGACGATGGAATAAAGTAATGACAATGGAACAGACTGGACACAGCACACGCAGACGATGTAAATAATGTAGGATGAGTGACGTCACCTGGGCCATCCATTCTAGACTGGACACAGAGAACACGCAGACGAAGGAAACAATGCAGGATGAGTGACGTCATCTGGGCCATCCATTCTAGATCGAACACACGCAGACGACGGAACGAAGTAATGACGGTGGAATAGCGTAGTATGTGCGACGTCACCTGGGCGATGACCCGGCTGACGATGGCGCTGGTCTGCGGCGCCAGCGCGAGCAGGCCCGCCGAGGCGGCGCCCGCCCCGGGCCCGAACAGCGTGATGGAGCCCGGGTCCCCGTTGAACGGCTCGATGTTGTCCCGGACCCAGCGGAGCGCCATCATCTGGTCCAGGATGCCGTAGTTGCCGGGCGAGTTGTCGTCGGCCGTCGAGAGGAAGCCTGCGTTTTTTTTTTTTTGATGTGAAGATTATTTTGATATTACTGGCGACCCGCCCCGGCCCGGGTGCAATCCATACTAACAATATAAATGCGAAAGTAACTCTGTCTGTCTGTCTCGCTTTCACTCCAAAACTACTGAACCAATTTAAATGAAATTTGGTACACAGATAGTCTAGAGCCTGAGAAAGGACTTTTAATTAAAGGATTGTTAATTAAAATTTTGTAAAGGGTTGAACCATATTTAAGGGCTTTAACGCGAGCGAAGCCGCGGGCGAAAATCTAGTGTATTATACATATAAACCTTCCTCTTGAATCACTCTGTCTAGTTGGAAAAACCGCATCAAGATCCGTTGCGTAGTTTTAACGATCTAAGCATATATAGGGACAGACAGACAGCGGGACGACTTTGTTTCATACTATGTATTGAAGATAGCGCATTGATATAGTCATTGCTACATAATTCAAATATCTATATTCAATATAGAAGCATTACACTTTATACACTTACTTATTGAACGCTAACGGTACCTACTAATAGTATATCAAAGCTGGAATGGACACCACAACCAGAAACGAACGAAACCAAAATCCATAGCTAGCTGCCATCTTGGAGACTAGATAATTGTTGTGCTTATTGACATCCTTACTAATATTATAAAGGCGAAAGTTTGTATGTATGGATGGATTTTTGTTACTCTTTCACGCAAATACTACTGAATGAAATTTAATGAAACTTTAAAATATAAGCTTAGCATCAAAATAAGACATAGGCTATAATTTATATACATATTTTATGTATATCTGTCTTTCTGTGAATGTTACGTCTTCAGCCTATTCTACGCAGACGTAGTCGCGGTTAGCAGCTAGTAAACTATAAGGAGATAGTTCTTACCCAGAGCGCCCAGCCTGTAGTTCAGGGACACCACCACGACGTTGTAGAACGCAGCCAGCATATGCCCAGGGAAGAGGTTGGACGCACCAGAGGAGAACTGGCCTCCGTGAATGTATACCATGACCGGGTACTTCTGCGCGGTGGCACCGGCTTCGGTCTAGAAGGAAATTTTACGGTTGTAGGGCCACGCAGCAGCCTCGGCTGTTGCACGAATGGGCAGGCCCGTCCGGGTTAGTACCACGACCCCACAGAAGACCAGCGTAAAGTGGAAGTATGACAAATACTTTCGCGTTTCGTCTGGCGAGTGAGGTAGCCGGAGCCCAATTTTCAAAAGGTTGTCAACGCATCTGTAACCCTCGGGTGTGGCAGATGTCCATGGTCGGCGGTATTCACTTAACATCAGGTCAACCGTCTGCTCGTTTGACAACTTTTCGCATAAAAAACAAAAAATTGTCCATAAATACAATTAAATACAACGAAAGAGAGGTAAGCCACTGACGTTGCACCACTTAAAAAAATCTCTTTTTTTAAGTGGTGCAACGTCAGTGGCTTTCTTTAAATTTTCTTTATTATTTTCTATATACTTTTATTTAAAAAAAAAAAAAAACTATCAGCTACAAAGTAAAAGTCAAAGTTACGAAAGCGAAGTCATCAACTACGTGGGATTGTTATTTTAATGCATATAGAATTATTATAAACTTAAAAATAGAATGACAGGAAACGTCTGATTTAAATTTAAACGAGTAAAGAAGATAAACGTTGATGTGAAAACTGGTTGATAGTTGTAATTTTTAAGACGTAAAGGAGATATTTATTAGAAAGTTATTAGGAGTGGGGTAAGCATTAAATACAACACAAAGTGCTTCCGTGCTCAAAAACCATATGCTACATATATAAAGATAAAGAAATTATGAAGGGATTATTAAAAGGTCGTTAGCACTAGGTGACCGGTCTTCTTAGCACCGGGCAATTGATTCAATTTTCGATGTGCCGGCTGCGTCCGTCGCCGCTTATTGTAAATCAACCCTAAGGCCTCGAGATAAGAGTGGATTTGCAGCGACGAGGCGGCAACGCTTTGATGAACGTGATCGCGTCTCATTCGTGAAGCAGCTTCCAGAATTGACAGGGGTGAAGGTCGTAAAAATCGTTCTTATTGCACTGTGTTAAGAGTTAGTAGCTACCAAGCAATTAGCACCGGCTTAATTGACATTTGGATTGCATAGTTCGAGTTTAGTTATGTCCTGAGACTGTCCGAATATGGATTTTAGTAAAAGCGCTAACGTTAACTTTCACTGGCCCTGTGGCCGCTGAAGGTTCACGTAACTTTTAGATAAAAAGCAAAAATGTCCTCCCGTAGGGATTTAGATTGTTAGTTCTACAAGGTCCGCTTTTCCGGTCAAGTCCTTATTTCTATGTCATCATCGTCGTCATCACTTCAGCTTGTTTGAGTCCACTGCTGAGCACTGGCTTCCCCCACAGACTGCTACGAAACACTATCTTGAGACACTTGCATCCATCTACTTCCGCACTTGTCCGCAAATTTGCACTCGAGAACCTTTTTTCCTATCGGTCAACCGGACATTTTTTTTAAATCAATACGTGTCGCTCAGGTCGCATTAATTGGATCTCTGTTTTTTTTTTCCTGATTACTCTTCATCATCCCCCTGCCGTTATCCCACCTAGGTAGGGTCGGCACAAAATGTGAATCATGTTGTAAGCGGCTTTGGCAAACCGCAATACAATGTTTTTTACGACCGGCCGCCTGCCTGATGTCGACCCTCATTGGGAAACAAACACCCAGATCCGGGACAATTATTTGTGGGTCACGCAAATACTTGTCCCATGTGAGAATCGAACCCACGACCCTCGACGCCGAAGAATAGCTTACCAACAGCGCCATTGAGTCATGGAGTCATTTTTCCTGATTACTTTCTTTTAACTACAATTATTATTTACTGTATTTTATTAATTGACTACTGTCTGAAAACGGTTATGGAAGGCAAGAAACAACCACACCTTTTGTAAATTTATTAATTTCTATTTATTTAAAATTCTAGCTATTAGGATGCTTTAAAAACGATCTTGCCTTTTGTAAATATATTGATTTGTATTTGTTTAAAAATTCAGCAACAAAATTTCTTATTTTTCTATGCGGTGCGCACTTATACAGCGTGTCTTTACAATCGCGTCAAAAAATGAACACACAAAAATGATAACTTTATAAAATTGTATTAAACATTTACTTTCTTTAAACATCAATATTTACAGAGTTTTTAAATTTTCCAAAACAAAGAATCTTAGAACACCCTTACGTATAAAACTGTAACGTAAAGTTCATTTGTAAAGGACACAAAGCATATGAATGGGTTGAATGAATTTAAAAGAAACAAAACATACTGTTAGAAGGGAAGGCTTGTAATGCGACGCCGTGGCAACGAATGAAAAAGTCTCTGAATGTATGAATCAGTCAGTTGTAGTTGTATAGGGGTTACAAATTTTGTTTCTTTTTTACTTAATTAGTTTGTTTGAAAAATATTTTTTTTAATTATGGATTTTTTATTAACGTTAATATTTTTTATGATTATTGGCAAGTAGCGTTAGACGTGTGTTCATATATTGTCGCGATGGTAACGACACGCTGTATAAGGCGGTCAAAGTAAAAAGAATATACATAATTTTTAATATTTCAATCTGTTTCTTTGCTTTATTCTTTAGGCAGACGGTGCATCTGATGTTATTGGATAATGATAATTACCGCCACCTATAGACATACGTAATACCAGAGGGGTCTCAGACGCATTGCATTAAAAGTAGACCGGTACCGGTCTAAAACTAAACCACGAGCCCCCGTCCCAGAACCCAGTTATTAACCCAAATTTATGTTGTCTCTCTTAGTTAAAATTGTCTTTTACGAATTAGATATTTGCTTGAATTAAATCATATATGGTTCTTTTCTATTCTACGTTGCCAAATTTAATAACATACACTCATCAAATAAAATGTAGCCTATAATGTATAATTGTATAATGTATATTATAGTATAAGTAGCCTTTGCTATACTTAACCTTTTTGCTGGAAAATAATCGGCCCTCTTCGTCCGCAACAACGAATAAGTATATTTTTAATAATAACTTTAAAAAATTTATGAAAAAAAAAAATCTCAACCGGAGGTTACATAAGAATAGAATTATCGACACAATATTATCGGATAAGACATTTTTGATTCCTGCGTATATCCGAACATAGGCAGCCTTTGGCGACATCAACACTTAATTTAAAGTGTAAATTACTTAAAGTGGTGGAGATAATCTTGCAATATTTACATTTAACGTCGCTTCGGATTATTTATCTTTCCCGATTTAGTGCGACCCGACCGCAACCGCAAAGCCTCATGAATTCGATATATCAAAGTTGCGGCCAAGATGCAATATCCTGCGAATGCCGAGCAATACCAACATGTCGCGTATCGACGTATATGAATACACATATCTATATCTGTACTATATATAATCCATACTGCATTCAAGTATTAATTCGGGCATTTTTTCCTCTCCTGTAAAGTTTGTGTTTTGTCACATAATGCTGTTTACCTCTGATGTACAGATATATACAGGGAGGCTTTTCTAAGTGTATCCATTATTTTTAATTTAATTCTTGACAAATGAATGTAATTAATAACTCGTAAGTAATTAATTACATTCATTTGAAATTCTTATCTCAAAAATTTTACGCGCGATCATTCATAACTAACATAACAATCACACTCGTTTGTGTGCGTGAACACTAAAATGACCTAACTGTGTAGGGCCACGCAACACAGTTTTCGCTGTTGCATAAATGAGCAGGTCCGTTCGGGACAACCTCACAGAAGGCCAGCGTGAAATGGGAGTATTATAATTCTGCGTTTCGTCTGGCGAGTCCCATTTTTTTAATTTTTAACTAGAGCCTATGTACTTTAAACAAGGACATCGGAGGGTTGGTGTACTGCCATCTCTTTCGATCCAATTCACAAGGGCTTTCTGTCTCGTTCCCTCCACGCGTCGTTACCGTCGAGGAAGATATCGTTAGTAGGTTTCGGGAACGTGCATTTAACAAACATCACAATAGGTTCCGCGAAGAAATAACTCGATTTCGAAACCCACCGGGGTGTATTAAAAATTAAACAGATCCGGAATACTTATGGGTAACACCAATACTTATCCCGTGTGGGAATCGAACCTATGATAACTCGCGCCGAATCCAATACCTTGACTACCATCGAGTCATTCGCAATTCTTTAATCTACTTTTTCTTTCACCTGTCCCACACTAGGAGTTGAACACAACATATCCTTTCCTTCCAAGTTCCTCTATCAGCCGTCATCTCAATGCTCACCCCATTAATTTCATTCATCAATGTTCTCATAAAATGTTTAGGTTAGAAACTCGATTACTCACATTGGGCGAGAAAATGTTGAGGTACAGGCAGTCTTCGTCCATATCCCGAATGCCTTTAGTCGCCCCGGTAAACCTCACCGGCTGAGGGCAGGCCGGGGCCCAGTCCACCGCCTGCATCAGCTGCCACCCAGGGTGCTGGCGTGGTGGCTGATGGAACCAACGGCACTTATCTGACACTACACTCTCTTAAAAGGATTCTTATGTGAAAATTTGTCGAGCGAGGGCTCACTTCGCATGGTGTTAAGAGAACACCACCGCAGATGGACATCCGCAACACCTGGTTTGCAGGTGCGTTGACAACCTTTGAAAAAGTGAGCCCCGGCCCACTTTGAGAACCATTAGTGTAGATGAATTTTTGAAGATGGAATATGCATAGGTATATAAAAATATTTAAACATTTTTCATCTGTTCTATTCCATTTACATCAATATTATTAGTACACATCAACATGATTATTTTACTGCTTATAAAGGATGTATGTGCATAAAAAGTAAAAACTAAAGTAACAGCATATACATCTCCCACTGCTGGGCAAGGCCTCCTCTATACAGAGGGTATCAGGGCATAGTACACCCCGCGGCCCCACTGCAGATTGGCGAACTTCACATATCTTCGAAATATTGTTTTTTTATTATTATTTCGAAAATATGCAGGTTTCCACACGATGTTTTCCTTCACCGCAGAGCACGTGATAAGTCAGCACTTAAAGTTAAATACTTTGTTGGTGCCCGCACCGGGGATCGAACTCAGGTTGCTCAAGTATATTGAATTAAAGGCGAGCGCCCGGACACTGAGCTATCACGGCTCAAATATGTATGTGCATAAATACCTTAAATCTGCCTTCTAGTACTGGTGGCCTTGCATATGGTATGCCCAGGAACACGGACACTTCTCCTTGAATCCTCTCTACAGGAGTTAGCCATGGCCGGTATCCGGAATTTGGGTCGGGATTGTCATATAAGTATACCTAAAAATTAACCATTTGTTACTCGAAATTCACAATTTTCGCCGATTTTTTTTTAAGACAAATAGTTTATGTTACACTGGTTTGTTTGGTAAATTAAAATTATTCTATAGTCATATTTTATATAATACTCAAATTTTATTAATGCTGAGGGTGTGTAATGTGAGGGGTTGTAAAGTGTGGTTTTGTTATAATATTTTTTATACAAGGTACCCTATCTTGTAAAAGAATATTAAATACAGAGATCTTATAAAGATACCTTACAATACTTATATACATAGTTGATTCATAAGAGCGGGAAAGTGTCTATTTGAATAAATATATTTTTGATTTTGATTAGAAATAATGCATATTTTATTTTCTGCGATCCTACTACGGAGTATTTTTTATACGGATAAATAAGCATTTAATAACATCAAATTTCATATACATAGAGGAGACAAGGACAATATATATATATATACATACAGAAATAAACTAATATTCTAAAGCAGATGGAAACATATTGAGAGGAAAATCAATTATGTTGCAAGTTTATGTTTCTCCATATCCTTTAATTGAAAAATTACTAATCCAACATTATTACATAGAAGTTGTTTGACTTAAAAAAAACAATGTTTCTTTCAATATACATTATTTCCTTTCCCTATGCCTTTAAATAATTGTAGGAAGCAGTGTTTCCTTTAATTACTGGTATGTTTCATAAGTTTTTGTTGGTGGTTTAGTTTTAGTGGCTGAGAAGTAAATTTGTTACAATAGAAAAAAATATTAGTCGTAATTATATCTCTTCTTATTGTGAAGCTAAGTTGAAGTTAGTAATGAGGAATAATTATGGAGTTGATAGGCAATTGATAAATAAGCCCATTTGTAATTTTATGGAATATTTTAGGAAATTAAGATTTTTTAGATTTTAATTTCTTTTATTATTAAATTTTTATCAAAAAATAAGTATATAGTACTAATACCAGATTAATAATACTTTAAGTAAAAAGTTCCATTTTTATTACTGATTATTAAATAATGTAAAACCTTTTATTCCAAGGATGCATTATTATTTAGTTTTTATAAATATTACAATTTGAATAAATAAAATGATTAAAAGTGACTTCTGTACCGGGCCTATATTTGAAGATTTAGTAAAGCGACTTAATCCCTAAAATTTTTATATGAAATAATATGTCATAAATGATTTACTTCTAATTCAAAATATTTGTGACAATATTGTTGATTGGTAATCTCAGATTATACATACTCTTTTGATGTCAACTCTGACCTGTTTGATTTATGTATTATGTTTGAATTACTTTAAATTTGGAATGTTAGTTTTATTTGTTCAGATTGAATTGCGACATATTTGATGGATTCCGTAAAAATCACTTAAAGAAGTAACATGTCTAGCTATCTAACATAACTTGTATTTTATACTTGACGACCTGAATGGCGTGGTGGGTAGTGTACCTGCCTCCTGTGTCAGAGGGTGTGGGTTCGATCCCCACTACTGGAAAAATATTGTGTGATGAACATAGTCTTTTTCTAGTGTCTGGGTGTTTATATATGTATAATATGTATTTATTTACAAAAGAAAATTATGTTTAAGTATGTTTATCAGTTATCTAGTACCCATAGTACAAGCATTGCTTAGTTTGGGACTAGAGAACGCTGTGTGAAAATTTATGAATAATATAATATAATATAAATTTCATAATGATTAGGTTTCGTTTAAAATAAGTTCAAAATGTTTAAGTTGAAATAAATAGTTTTCTAATCAGTCCTTAAGTGTCATTTTGGTTTGAAAATGATCCCATCTGCCATTCAAGAAATATGAGACCATACAGAAATGAATTGTTACAACTAACCTTAAATCCTTGAACTTGCCCAAAGTTAGTGTTCACAAAAATGTCCCTTTTCAACTGTTTGGAATCCCTTCTCTCTCTGCCTTGTAAGTCCTCTCTCCATCCTCCCAATACCCCCGGGAATAGAGCATCTGGGTTATTTGGGTCTCTGTTCTGTGTCAAATACATTTTTTTAAAGCAATAATTATTTCATAATTTAGATTATTACTGTATGATTTAGACTATTACTGATGTAATAAATTAAAAAAAATTAAAATTAAGATAATTGATGGAAAAAAAAATTGTTCAATATTACAATAAAATATGCAAACATTAACTTACTGTATTATATTTAAATTGATCATCCAGAGGATTGGTATTCAATGGATTATATGGGAATCCACCGGGTTGGTTGATGTTTGGATTATAGGGATTGTAGCGGTTGGGTTCAGCTCCATATCTTCGGTTGTTATAGACGTATGTCCTATAGTTACTATCACCTGGTTTAGGCAGTGAGTCACGGGAAGTGTCTCGTCTTACATTGTAGTCATTACTATATAGGTCTTTATTTGATTGGCAATTTATGTCACCAAATATAAATAAAATAAATATAGTCTTTATCAACATTATTCAAACTGTGTGAGGTCTATTGAAAAGGAAGCCATATAGTTAGCTGTAGCGCTTATTAGAGCTTTCCAATTAAATTGTAACAATACCAGCAATTTGATGAATTACGGTACTATTTAAAAACTATGAATAATGATTTTTAACGGTTTTCTCTCAAAAAAATATAAATTTTGCGATAAACATCAATACATTAATAATTAAAAAAAATATATATATTTAAACTGCGACATCACATATAAGTTTTATCACAATAGACCTGAATCACTATCAAAAGATGTCAGTCACGCACAAAGGTGGGCTTTATCAGTTTTTAAATCAATGAATTATCAACACAATGTATGGCAACGCCCACAAACTACTACAACATACGTTTGTTTATCATTTCAACTTCATTTCGACATTAACGGAGTTTGTATTTTACGTTCTGAAATCTGAATCAAGGGTTACATCGGCACAGATAGTAAAAAATAATACAGACAGAAATAGTACTTCAATATAATATTTAATTACATTGTAATTTATGTAACATGAAGACATAAAAGTTAATATTGAACAAAAAACGTTTGCGCCATTTTTGTTTATCTATAATAATGGATAAAAAACGTGTCCGCTGAAAAGCGTCAAATTGGTGGCGCTACAGTAGCAAGTGGGTATTAATATTAAGCAGCAATGATAATTTACTAGCACCATTTTGGTAAATTTTGAACTGATATTTACTACTTGCCACTGGAATAATATGAAACGTATATAAGATTTATTTTACCTTGCAAATAATATGAGGGCTAAACGAGCCGAGAGAGATAATAAGGACAGAGTTGTTTGTCCCTTTCTAGCTTCACTTACGGAAAATCTACTATAATAAATATTTTAGAAATTACTGTTGGCTGCACTTATAAACTTATAATAATATTTAATTAAAAAGATACGAACAAATATGTAGGACATTGTTTTATTTTAGAATATTTTGAAATCATTACGTTACATTTACGTCATATTATTAGTCTCATATCCTAATTTTTTCCTCCTAAATTTATTTTAATTATATTAAAATAAGTATTAACAAATTTGTTCTTTAAGTCTGCTGACTTCTAACGAACTATATACTTTCCAAAAATGTACAGAGGTTTCAAAAGGCATTTTGACAACGTTTTTGACGATGATATTTTAATGAAGATGACGCAAGTGCATACTGCGCGGCGTTTGTTCCGTTATAAATTATAATGTCATATCTACCTCGTGTTTGTATATAATATCATTGGTTTTTGATTATGTTCGGAAATACGATCAAGAATCCTTCAAAAATACTTGTTAGTTACTTGGAACATTAGTACAGGAGTCAAACGAAACACACAAAGTAAAAAAAAGTGATTTTATTATATTTTGGATTCGTGTTCAAAAGTGTAAGATACGGTTTTTTCGGTTTTTTACTCTACTGAAACGAATTATAAACACATTTTATCAGTTGATATTTTTTTAAATGCATATGATTATTGTCAATGATTAGTATGTTCGTCCCTGAACATGCGAATTAATGGCCAATATACCTATATCCGTGGAGTGCTAACGACTTTACCCGGACTTTTATGTACAAAAATTAATGATCTGTGAAAGGTCACGCTTTGTTAAAGATATATTGTTCCAATGCATAACTTAGCACTAGATAATAAGTAGATTTGTAATGCGAGATAGGCCTTATAAATATTGTCAACGCCGAAGGGACCTACTGAAGGGACGGAATTGCCGTGGAAAATAAAGCTATGGAAGTACTTTTACACAACAAATATATAATTACCACGTATTAATAAAGTTATTATCACTGCGTTGCTATGATCAGTAGTCAATTATATTCAGAACAGTTTTTTTTTACATTAAATAAACAGTACGTAGTGAACCGTGTATTGAATTATTATAAATACATTTGTGTAATTTCTCTTTTTTTTAAATAAATAAGATTTAACACATTTTATTTAAAATTATTTAGGGATTTTATTTAAAATCCCTATCCCTTCGTTTCGAATTTTTCAGTAATGGAATGAATAAACTATCTGTAAAATGGCGAAAGTCAATCCTTACTAATATTATAAAGGCGAAAGTTTGTATGTATGGATGGATTGTTACTAGTTCACGCAAATACTACTGAATGGATTTTAAGGAAAATTTACAATAATATAGCTTTTACAACAGAATAAGACATAGGCTATAATTTATATACATATTTTATTTATATCTGTCTTTCTGTCTGAATGTTACGCCTTCAGCCTATTCTACGCAGACGTAGTCGCGGGCAGCAGTTAATAGAAAATAATATCTACTTCGATTGATTTAACTCCGCCTCGGATCGTTGGTTAGATTCCCACACAGGCAAGTATCTGTGTGGCTCATTATTCCGAATCTGGTTGTTTAATTTCAAGGAGTGTTGAGGTCAGGCGGCCGGCAGTTTAAACTTACCCGGCCAGACTCGTCCGGGTAAATACCACGACTTCACAGAAGACTGGCGAGAAGTGGAAGTATAATAAATACTTTGGCGTATTGTCTGTTGCGTGAGGAGCCCAATTTTCAAAAGGTTGTCTTTTTAGGCGAAAAATTAAGATAGGCGACGGTATTCACTTATTAATAAGTATTGTGCGCAATGCACGTTTCAGTGTGCTGGATTGGTGAATGTCGTGAAGACAGAAAGAACACTGTTTATTTTCAGACGTTTGTACAAGTTTTTTCTTATGCAATAAAACGTTCTTCTAGTGGCTGCAGGGCTTCTTTCTTGCTGACTTCTTCTAGTTGCTTGTTCCACTGGTAGATCTTGATGCTCGTCGACTGCGATGATGCCCCGAAACGCCGCTATATTTATGTGATCCTGTGGGAATTAATTCTATCAATTACGATGACACTATGAAAATACAATTTTTCTCTAATTATTTTATCGCACTAATTTTACAACATATGTGTTAATAGTCATATAAAACCAGTTATACAATTAAAATCTTATAGTATTTCATTATACAGACATTTTTATAGGCAATCTAAAATAAGCAAGTTTTAAGCAAGTTTTAAGCAAAGTTTTAAGCAATTATTTCGACTTACGTTACATGAATTAAACAGTAAATTACTTATACAAACACTATTAAACTAAGTTATCCCGCACAAGTATTAAGATTTTATCCAAGAAGGACAATAGAAAGACAGTTATCTAAATAAAGTTTGTAATTTTTCAGAATTATAAATAGGTATTTGACAGAAACAATAAATAAATATTTTTAGGACACATTTTTACACGACGATCTCTAGTCACAAACTAAGCAACGCTTGTACTATGGGTACTAAATAACTGATAAACATACTTAAACATAATTTTTTTTTAAATAAATACATATTATACATATACATGTACAAATACCCAGACACTAGATAAACACTATGTTCATCACACAATATTTTTCCAGTAGTGTGGATCGAACCCACATTCTCTGGCTCATGTAGTGGGTAGTGTACCTGCCTACTACTCATTTGGGACGTCAAATGTTTTAGTGGAAAAAAGTATTAGGGTGCTTTGTAACATAGTTTATACTAACTTATACTTCATAGCTAAGTAGTACTTAAGAAATTTTTAAACCAATTGACGTTTTTGTATTATATTAGGCCCCAAGTTTTTTTTATATATTTTGAGTTTAGTCAAAGGAATTAAGTTCGAAACTTAGTACTTAACAAACAACGAGAGAGGTAGGCAACTAAGCAAAAGCACTGGGTTAAAACAAAGTTATTCCATGCCCGAAATGTTATCGGAGCTTAAGGCAATTGTAAGTCTCTGAATTATCATTCCCAATTCCGAACTATTTGAATCTGTTAAGTTTGTAGACTGAATTGATCGCTTGCACCGCCACCCCTCTTGTTGGTGGACTATTTCGAAAATCCCGACGATATTATCGTCCGGAATTCTGTAGATTTGTTCGGTATTTGGACGATTAATATAATGGTCGTCCATTTCAATCGTGTTTCCAAGGACGGCTAGGTCCGACTGTTCATGAAATGAAATTATCTTACTCTACAAAGAAATATTTAATTTCTTTTAGTTTTTGCCTAATACGGTGTTGGATCTAGCGTTATTTATTGTGTATTGGCTGATTTTTATTTTCTATTATACACATAACCTAAATTGTATCATTTTTTTCGTTTTTTTATAAACATAACGCCTACTACTGAAACACGCTCACAATTTAACTTTTCAAGAGTTATTAAGAATAACTCCATTTTAGAAATATTATTATAGATAATCTAATTAAATCACACCCATCAAAGCATTGTTTGATATTGGAACGTTATGTATTTAGGCCAAGATATTTGTCAAGTCCTGCGAACTTCGGCATGCAATTATGGAATTTAATGCATATCAACGTCCTAGTATCAACTTAGCTATTTTAGAGTAAGATTTAAACTACACAGTAATATTGAAATATAATTAGATATAAAAATAATTTTGATATTTCGCAGTCCACCACTGTGTGTTTTCACGCATGTTTCTGCCATGCACAACTAAAACCAGTGGAATCAGTTCTAGCTAGTGGCCTTTGCGCACGGATAGCAGTTAGTAGTCCAAGAACCCAGAGCCGCCAGACGTCAAATATTTTCTCACGAACCAATTTTTTACAATTTTTTACGTACCTTGATTACCTGATACGTGGAAATTGGCCCACTGACCAAGCTAGCAGGCAGGCATGCGATCGTAGTACACTAACACTACTCAATCGTACACATTTCGTTCGTAAGAAAATACCTGACGTTTGGCAGCTCTGGGATCTTGCTCTATAGGAACCTGCAAGAAGAGCCTATTTCTAACTCAAAGGCGGATAGCACTGACCTTCTGGTGACATGCTCGCTCGTTTGCCTGCTTTCCCGCTTACTTATTCTATTAGTTTACTCTTTGGCTTTTTTA